CTTGCCCAACTTTTTCTGACCTTGCCCAATATGTCCTTGCCCTCTTACCCTTGCCCACGTTCATTAAAGAAAGTTGGGCAAGGTCAGGGGTCATCCGCCGGACCTTGCCCGATTAACTGACTTTACGACCTTGCCCAATCTTTTCAATGACCTTGCCCAATGTCTATTTGTCATGACCTTGCCCAATGATTCCATGACGGTGGGGGGCCATTGCCGAAAGCCCCAAGCCCCAAGCCGGTGAGTCCCGGAACCCCCAAATTCCCTGCCAAAGGCCTCGCCCTGAGCCTCGCCCTGAGCCGATAGGTGCCCGACTGGCACCCCAACGTGAGCCGGGTGGCTCAGTGGGCCTGCTCCGTGGCGCGAGCCCTGAGCTTTCTTCACGACCGGGCGGTGCCGCTGGCAGCCCGGCAAGCAACGGCCGAAGGGGCCTGAGACTAGGAAGCCCCGATCCCATGAGCCCATGAACATCCTAAATCCCAAGCCCTAAACCCCAAAACCTAAACCCTAAACCCTAAACCCTAAACCCTAAACCCCAAACCCTAAACCCTAAACCCTAAGCATCACTTTCAAATTGTCGCTCCTGTCTTCAGTGTTCTTGGGGTGTGTTTGTTCAGTCTGGTTTTAAGGGTTGGGGTTTAGGATCTAGGGTTTAGGGTTTAGGGTTTAGGGGTGTGTTTGTTCATTCTGGCCCGAAGAAGAAGGGGCAAACCCTGCTGCCCTCATTCTTGAATATAATCCTTGAACCCAAAAGCTCTTACGCCCTTGGAACCTTAAACCCCTAGAAACCATAACCCCAAACCCTACCGAGTAGAAGTAAGCCCTAAAAATCTAAATCCAAAACCCTAAACCCTAAACGCCGCCAGGTGCATCGCGATTTAAAGCCCCTGAGCCTGGGCCGCGCTTTGCTATTACTTTTGTTGAAATATCCCTTCTTTCTGTTTTAGGGTTTAGGGTTTAGGGTTTAGGGTTTAGGGTTTAGGGTTTAGGGTTTAGGGTAAGGCTTCTGTGGGCTCGAGGGTTTCCGTGCGCATTCTGGGCAGACGCGCATCTCAGGAACCTCCTGTTGAGCAAGCACCTGGATGTCAAGGTGCCAATCTTTGCTTTTGTTTGTTTAGGGTTTAGGGTTTAGGGTTTAGGGTTTAGGGTTTAGGGTTTAGGGTTTAGGGTTTAGGGTTTAGGGTTTAGGGTTTAGGGTTTAGGGTTTAGTTAGGGTTTAGGGTTTAGGGTTTAGGGGGCTCTTTCGGCTTTTCGGGTTTAGGGTTTCGGGTTTGGGGTTTCGGGTTTAGGGCTTTAGGGTATAGTAGGGTTTAGGGGTTTTAAGGGTTTTGGGGCTCTGGCTCTCTTTTTTTTTAGGGGTCTGATGAACTTCGAGGTGGGGTTTTGGGGCGTCAAACCTAAAGTTAATCTCCACCTGAGCCCTGAAATCTCAAGTCGCCACGCCAGCCCACTTGCAAACTCTTTCTCGAAGCTCATGAGCTTGCCCTAAACCCTAAACCCTAAACCCTAAACCCTAAACCCTAAACCCTAAACCCTAAACCCTAAACCCTAAACCCTAAACCCTAAACCCTAAACCCGAAACCCGAAACCCGAAACCCGAAACCCTAAACCCTAAACCCTCAACCCTTTCTTGAAGCTCATGAGCTTGCACATGGTTCTGCTATCACAGCAGCTGGCTTTGTGTAGTTGTCGTCACATGTTGCCCCCTACTGCAGCAGGCACACAAGCCAGTGTGTCGCTCCAAAAGCTGCGCATGTTGCACCGCAGAGACAAACTTCAGGTTTAGCCTTCCGACCACACGTAAAGCCGCACAAAACGCTTGGTTTGGGACAAACGCTTGGTTTGGGACATGTCGAGCCGCTGAAAGCGCTTGGTTCGGACATGTACAGCCGCTCAAAGCACTTGAATGGCCCTCACGATTCGGACATGTACAGCCGCTCAAAGCACTTGGTTTGTGGGGGTGGGGGGTATGCGAATGGCCCTCACGATGAGAACGTCCGTGGTACCAGTGCGTGCGAGTGGCCAGAGCATCCATGCCCGCACGATGAGAACGTCCGTGGTACCAGTGCGTGCGAGTGGCCAGAGCATCCATGCCCTCACGATGAGAACGTCCGTGGTAGGAGTGCGTGCGAGTGGCCAGAGCATCCATGCCCGCACGATGAGAACGTCCGTGGTACCAGTGCGTGCGAGTGGCCAGAGCATCCATGCCCTCACGATGAGAACGTCCGTGGTACCAGTGCGTGCGAGTGGCCAGAGCATCCATGCCCGCAGGATGAGAACGTCCGTGGTACCAGTGCGTGCGAGTGGCCAGAGCATACATGCCCGCACGATGAGAACGTCCGTGGTACCAGTGCGTGCGAGTGGCCAGAGCATCCATGCCCGCACGATGAGAACGTCCGTGTTACCAGTGCGTGCGAATGGCCAGAGCATCCATGCCCGCACGATGAGAACGTCCGTGTTACCAGTGCGTGCGAATGGCCAGAGCACCCATGCCCGCAGGATGAGAACGTCCGTGGTACCAGTGCGTGCGAGTGGCCAGAGCATCCATGCCCGCACGATGAGAACGTCCGTGTTACCAGTGCGTGCGAATGGCCAGAGCACCCATGCCCGCAGGATGAGAACGTCCGTGGTTTGGGTGTGGACCCTTATGATCAACTCACGGAAGATCGGCCTTGGGAGTTGCTGGAACTTTAGATCCCTCGAACCCTCAAAGATTCGCTGAATTTATAGTGCCCAAAAACGCTGCTTCTAGCTCTTCCCCACTGCATGCATCCCAGACTGCCACTTATCATCCCGTACTACCCTGCGTGGGACGCTCAGCACTTCCTGCCGACAACTCCTGTCTTGTCTCTACCTTCCACCGCTTCCCGCAACTTAAAATTCCAAGATTTTTCAGTTGCGCAATGGTTGCCGCTCAGCCGCTTGCCAAGCTCCAAAAGCGTGGCAGGCGCGATAGAAACAGCGCTGGCACTCCGCAGAAAAGCTTCTGGGCGCGGCTTAACGCGCGGTCGGAGCGTTTAGCCTTTAGGGTTTAGGGTTTAGGGTTTAGGGTTGTCTCATTCACCTTCGAAGATCCTGGGGCACCTCAATCCCTACTTGGCGCTGCCTGTTTTGTTCCACGTTTTCCACCCGATTTCTTGCGTTTCAAGCACCTTCTGAAAACATGGCGCCTCAACCACGACCTTTCCTGCACATTTTCCCACGCACCTTCTTGCTACCTTTCTAGCATCTTGTTAATTTGTTTGGTGGCCCCACATGAATTCCATCAAGCACGTCCCAACCCTAAAATCTGGGATGTTCCCCCTTATACTAACAGTCCTTAATAAGGCTTTATAACAGAGGGTACTAGAATCCCTATGAAGGACTGTTAGTACAAGGGGGAACATCCCAGCGTACAAGCCCTCAAACCCTGAACCCTGAACCCTAAACCCTAAACCCTAAACCCTAAATCCTAAACCCTAAACTCTGAACCCTGAACCCTAGAAAAGCGGAGGTGGCCGATCTCGGCATAAGCCGGGTCCTGGAAGTCGCCAGTGCCGAGAGCTACCGCATGACCGGGGCCATCGGCACGCTGCATTACATGGCCCCTGAGGCCAAGGGTTTAGGGTTTAGGGTTTAGGGGTTTAGGGTTTAGGGTTTAGGGTTTAGGGTGCTAGATCCTTTTGCCTCGCAGCCCAAAAAGTTCGGAGTTTAGGGTTTCCGAAACTCTTAGTTAGGGCGATTTAGGGTTTAGGGGTGTTGGGTTTTTGGGGTTTGGTTTGGACTGCCCTGCGATGTCCTATGCGAGGTCGCGCGCCACCAGAAGTACAACGAATCTTAGCCATTGCCTTGAGGAGCATTTTTGGGAATCTTTCAACCAAAGTATCTCCTGCAAGGTGCCATGTCGAGAACTCTACCATCTGTCACCGAACTACCCCCTGGTTCTTATTAGGGAATGAGGGAATGAGGGGCTTATATCTACCCTTTAAGGGATTTAGGGTTTAGGGTTTAGGGTTTTGTGAGGGTACCGTACCTCATTCCCTCACTCCCTACTAAGAACCAGCCAGACTGTGGCAAGGGGGATACAAGGTACCTCGTTCCCGAACTCCCTGACTGCCTCCTTGCCTAACTGCTGCTAGCGGCCCTGAAGCCCTAAACCCTGAACCCTAAACCCTAAACCCTAAACCCGAAACCCGAAACCCTAAACCCTAAACCCTCAACCCTAAAACCTCAACCCTAAACCCTAAACCCGAAACCCTAAACCCTAAACCCTAAACCCTCAACCCTAAACCCTAAACCCGAAACCCGAAACCCTAAACCCTAAACCCTAAGCCCGAAACCTGAAACCCGAAACCCTAAACCCTAAGCCCTCAACCCTAAACCCTAAACCCGAACCCGAAACCCGAAACCCTAAACCCTAAACCCTAAACCCTAAGCCCTAAGCCCTAAGCCCTAAGCCCTAAGCCCTAAGCCCTAAGCCCTAAGCCCTGAGTAAGGCGAAGGTTGACATTTATGCTTTCGCCCTCATCATCTACTTCTTGAGCTCCGGGCGACAGCCATTTCATCACCTCACCAGAGATCCCGAACAAATTTTGAAGGACGGGGCCTAGGGTCTAGGGCCTAGGCTTCCGGGCCTAAGGTGTGCTAAATGCTAAACGGGGGTTTCCGAAAGTCGGGGTAGCTTATTGTGGTCCTCATTATCAGAGAATCCTACTCTTTGGGGGGGTTATTGTAGGGGTACCCTGTTTTCGTCAACCCCCACATGTTCTGTGGACGCTGTGCACCAGCACCACCGCAGGGCGCACGTTTGCGTGGTGGGCGCCCGAAGCTCCACCCCCCTAAACCCTAAACCCTAAACCCTAAACCCTAAACCCTAAACCCTAAACCCTAAACCCTAAACCCTAAACCCTAAACCCTAAACCCCCCCCAACCTGCTCTCGCAGGAGTATGCCAAGGGGAACGAGCCCCGGCCACGCGTCGCAGACTGCCAGCCCCCGCTGCGTCAACTCATCCAGGCGGCCTAACCACCCTGAAGCGAGTTAAGGTTTGTGAAAAAACCCTAAACCCTAAACCCTAAACCCTAAACCCTAAACCCTAAACCCTAAACCCTAAACCCTAAACCCTAAACCCTAAACCCTAAACCCTAAACCCTAAACCCTAAACCCTAAACCCTAAACCCTAAACCCTAAACCCTAACATCTGGCTTTAACTCTGAAACCTTACTCCGAAACCCAGAACCGGAGCCCATCCAAATGCTTTGAAACCTCGCAGCCCTTAGCTTGTTTTTTTGTTAAGGGCTTGGGGCAGGGTTTAGGGTTTAGGGTTTGGGGTTTGGGGTTTGGGGTTTGGGGTTTGGGGTTTAGGGTTTAGGGTTCAGGGTTCAGGTTTTAGGGTCGGTTTCGGTCCAGTTTATTAGGGTTCAGGGTATGTGGCCCACACCTCTGTCCCAAGATTCGGGCCAGGGTTCAGGGCTTAGGGTTTGGGTTTTTTTTTCTGCTTGGGATGCTCCCCTTTATGCTAAAAGTCCGTATTGGGGCCCAGAGGTTGCTTGCGTCTTCTCCAGTCTCCAGTGTTCACCATGTCAGAGCACCAAACCTAGAAACCCGAAACCCTAAACCCGAAACCCTAAACCCTAAACCCTAAACCCTAAACCCGAAACCCTAAACCCTAAACCCTAAACCCTAAACCCTAAACCCTAAACCCTAAACCCTTAACTGGAGCGAGCCGCGGGCGCTGCGATAAGCAGCAGCGAGCGATACCGCGTGGCGACAGGCCCGCGGACGAGCCCGAGCCTTCAGGCGAAGCCTGGCGAGGGCTCGGGGCCGTTGCGCGCAGTGAGCGCGGCCCACGCCTAGAAGGGTTTAACCTGCGTGCCAGCGTCAGTCCGGCTCCAAAGAGAATTACCCCAAACCCTAGGTCCTAGGTTTTTAGTGACCCCGCGCTGGTGCGTCCTCCCCCTAAGGGTGCCAGGGTCCCTGGGGGCCGAAGGGGGGTCCTGAATCCTGAATGAAGGGTTTTTGAGGGTTCAGACGGTTTTAGAGGTTGCAGGGGGGGCAGAGGGAAGGGCGTCCGCGAAGGGTCCCACGAGGTCCCAGAGAGGGGGTTTAGGGTTTGGTCAGGGTCCAAGCTTCTTGCAAGGGGGTCCAGGGAGGCTCCAAGGTGCCAGGGCGGTTTTTAGGTTTTAAGCAGCAGCCGTCGAAATGAGAAGCGAACCCTCCCTAAAAGCCTCCTCCAAGGACGGATTTAATAGATTTAATGGTGATGCTTTCGTCGTGAGGAAGCTCCAGGACCAAAAAACAAAGGGAGCCCAAGGCATAAACCTGTGGATCTTGTAGCCCACTTTCAACATCATTTTCAAACCCTAAACCCGCCCAAGGTTGAGATGTGGGTGGGTGGGTTGGGAGAGAGCATTGAACCTGGTCGCACACCACAACACACGTCCCGCGTGGTGGTGTGCGCGGAACCTTGGCAAGCCCCAAACCCTAAACCCTAAACCTAAACCCTAAACCCGAAACCGTAAACCCTAAACCCAAGCCCTAAACCCCAAACCCTAAACCCTAAACCCTACACCTCAAACGCTAAACTCGAAAACCCTAAACCCTAAACCCTAAACACTAAACACTAAACCCTACGAAGGTGTTGCGGGGTTTAGGGTTAAAGCAGCGCGGCAAGGCGGCGTGGCACCCGGATGCTTCGTCGCGACCCTCGGCGCAGGCGCGGCTCATAGGGTGCACCTTCAAACCCTTCAGGGTTTAGAGTTTAGGGTCTAACCTCCTGTACTTAACCCTCCGGAAAGAGGCTGTTAGCGAAGCCCCTCGGCGCAAAGGCGCGGTTAGGGTGTTTTTCCGGCTTCGGGATTTCGGGTTTATGGTTTTAGGGGCCGCTCCCGCTCCTCAGGCCATGCTTCTCGAGTTGGAAGCCCTGGAGGAGCAGGGTAAGCCTGGCTGCCTGTGCCCGCAGATGTAGACCGAAAGGCAGGTCTCCGCAAGAGTGCTGAATTTCTTGCGATCATTTTATTGGGTTTTCCGTCGCCGAACAGTGCGGTCTAGATACGGACTAGCTGACTCGCGCCTGGCTGATCCCCGCACCTATGATGCGAGCGAGATTTCAGTGTCACCCCATAGGCCGGTCAGGCGTGGCGGATCCTTGATACGGATTGCGCCGCCTGGCCAAATCTCGATATCTAGCTGATGCAGATATGCATCATGTCCCTAGCCGCTTCTGCACATAGACTGCTCGGAATTTCAGTGGTAATCTGGCTGTCGTGGATGAGACCTTCCTTTAACGGACTTTCATAGAAGGGTGATGGGCGGTATAGTTGCATACCCGAAAGCGTGAAGGATGCCTAGAAGCTGACTGATTTGTGTTTCAGGGCCGTTTGCATTTTGAAAAGGTAGATCAAGGCGGGTGCCCTACATGTTGAGGGTTTAGGATTGAAGGTTAAGGGTTTAGGGATGCAAGTGTGCATACAAGGGTTTAGGTTTCTGCTGGTTCCTTTTTCTTTGGTGGGGGGGGGGGGGGGTTGATGTAGGGCTCCCTGTCACAGTGTTCGTTCCTCTGAAACCTTGCGCTCACGAGTCTGGCTTTCCAGGGTAGTTCAGTGGGAACTAGTTCCCCGAAAGGTCCACAGCAATGGCATTTTGAGCTACTGTTCCCACGCCCAAACGAGCCCTCCCAAAAGAATTCTAGGCAATTTAGAGCAGCCCCGGGATTGAAGACAGGGCCCTGAAACCTACACCCCGAATCCTGAAACCGTAGATCATCAAGATCCTTACAGAGACAGAAGGTTGGGCCAGAGGTGCCTTTTAAGACAAGCCTCCGTCACTTCCGCCATGGAGGCTGGTAAAGGCCAGGGCCTTGGGCCACTTAGGGAACGAAGCCCTTAAGCGTTTGAGCTTTGGTCAGGGTTTAGGGTTTAGGGTTTAGGGTTTAGGGTTTAGGGTTTAGGGTTTAGGGTTTAGGGTTTAGGGTTTAGGGTTTAGGGTTTAGGGTTTAGAGTTTAGGGTTTAGGGTTTAGGGTTTAGGTGTACTTCGGGGGGAGGGGGATGCGTGGGAGCTGATTCAGTGCCGGGATACTCGGTGGCATTCTCGGCGGGATTCTCCCTAGGGAGCCTCCCTTTCTCTTTGTATCCTCTGCTTTTGGTTTGTGAAATTTAAAGGGCAAAAGTCTAGGGCTGCCTTTGGGGGTGAGAGTGGTTTAGTCTTCTGTTATCCCCGTTTGGTTGCCCCCCGTATAGGATTTAGGGTTTAGGGTTTAGGGTTTAGGGTTTAGGGTTTAGGGTTTAGGGTTTAGGGTTTAGGGTTTAGGGTTTAGGGTTTAGGGTTTAGGGTTTAGGGTTTCGGGTTTAGTGGTTCGATGTTTAGGGGCTTCAGGGCTTAAGGGGTTTAGGCTTTCGGGTTCAGGTATTCGGGTTTGTCGAAGGTGCCCTGGTGAATGCGGGGAGCTGGTTCACCAATTGGTGAACCCTAAACCCTAAACCCTAAACCCTAAACCCTAAACCCTAAACCCTAAACCCTACACCCTAAACCCTAAACCCTAAACCTAAACCCTAAACCCATATAGGTTTATTCTTTGGGAATCGGGGCTCCACGCCGAAGTGCCCCAAACCTGTACCCTAAACCTTAGAATGCTTAACGGCCCCACACCCTTGAAACCATCTAAATTACCTAAACACCCAAAACCACCTCTGAGAAACCTGCGTAAGCCTCTGAGCCACTTCGCGGTTTTCCTCCCCGCTGCTACCGCGGTACAGGGGGGGGGTGGAGGGAGGGGTTTGGTTTTTGAGAGTGGAACAGAAAATCCCTTGGAAGGTTTACCTCACCCCCAAGAGAGGAGCCTTGGGAAAGCTTCATCTCATACTTATACAACTGCCTCATGAAACAAACTGCTGCAACGACTTTGTCACACGAAAATGTGCACGGAATATCAACCTGCAAAACGCAGGCCCATAGTGTGTCTCTTTCTGGAAAAACATGACAACAGCACGAAAACATGAGAAAAACACCTCAAAATCCAACGCGTGGAACAGTGTGGCCCCCACAGCGTTCCTTTCTGTTGGGTTTAGGGGTGTAAGGTTTCCGGTTGAGGGTGTCCTTCGTCTCAGGGCGTGAATCCCGAAAACCGGAGGAACCTTGTGAGTCCAAGCCCCTCAGAAGGTCCAAAGTCCCCAAAGTCCCCAAAGTCCCCAAAGTCCCCAAACCCCAAACCCCAAACCCCAAACCCAAACCCCAAACCCCAAACCCCAAACCCCAAACCCCAAACCCCAAACCTCAAACCCCAAACCCCAAACCCCAAACCCCAAACCCCAAACCCCAAATCCCGAACCCCGAACCCCGAACCCCGAACCCCGAACCCCGAACCCCGAACCCCGAACCCCGAACCCCGAACCCCGAACCCCAAACCCCAAACCCCAAACCCCAAACCCCAAACCCCAAATCCCAAATCCCAAATCCCAAACCCTAAACCCTAGACCCTAGACCCTAAACCTAAACCCTAAACCCTGCACCCTAAACCCTAAACCCTAAAACCGACGCCACCGAGGGAGCGTGGCGAAGCCGCAGAACCAGCGGAGAAGAAGGAGACCGTGCTGGGGGGGGGCTTGTGGATTGTTAGGGTTCGCAGTTCGTTCGACTGGGTTGAATGAAGAACCCTAAACCCGGACCCCTACATGTGGGATCCTATACCCCCCCCCCCCCCCCCCCCCGCCCCCCGCCCGAACGCCCGCTTGCTTGGACACTAGACCCCCAAACTCCAAACCCGAAACTCTCTGCCAACACCCCCAAACCCTCATCCGCCCCTCCCCCCCCCCCCCCAAATCCCTCCAAAGCTCCAGCCCCAGGAACGCGCGTCGGCTACTCAAGATGGCTGCAGCCTCCGGACTCTTCGCCGCAGGTGCCATGTGTTAGGGTTTCGGGTTTAGGGTTTAGGGTTTAGGGTTGAGGGTTTAGGGTTTAGGGTTTAGGGTTGTGGGTTTAGGGCTCAGGGTTGCTCACATTGCTTTTGGGGCGCAGCTGATGCAGCTGG